ATGAGATTGATTAAGTGCGAGCTTGGCGTGATTTATGCAATCTAAAACAAAATTGTAATGTAAAACCTTCAAGAAAAAGATTTTTAACTGAAAATGGATTATCAATTAGTATTTTTAGTTCAATGTTTACTTACATTATGATAATAATGCAATTATAAAGTTTATAAATTAAGTAACAGTCCGCATAAAAATAATTATTGTATTTGTACGAATATGTCTATCAATATCCCACAACTAATAATTAAAATTTCCAGTTGAAGTTGCAGCGCATATAATTAGTGCATTCCAATAATATTAATTAAAATTTCCTCGCCTGTTATGCATTTAATCTTTACCAGTTCACAATACACAACTACAACATGAATGTTGAAGGTTTAAAAACACATCATGACGTTGCAAGATTTCTGGGAATAGTTCCAAATATTTACGGAAATAACCACGATCAAAAACATCAATTATTAGATGTACTAAGAGGCGCAATATTCATAATTTTATTTACATTGATTCTTATCTACCTGTTTTGTGGACAAATATTTTTTTACGGCCATTTAGTACATAAAACCGTACTTTTTACTTATGACTTAATGGCATGCACAGTAACAGCATTAAATATTACGTGTGTGTACATGTTAAACCTACGTCATGGATCTAGACTTCGACGGTTTCTGAATAAACTGCAAAAACTTGAAGTGTTTATTATAAACAAAAATGAAATACCAAGAGAGAATAAGAAGTATCTATGGAAGTTTTATATCTGGGTGACTTGTGGGCTTGTTTTTGCTGGTTTTAGTGGTTATGTCAACACCAATGCTTTAGGATGGGATTCTTATCGTTTTATTACAGGCAGAGAATTTCAAAATATCCATATTAATATTCTGCTGGACGTTATAATTCGATATCCTGATTTAATGGCGTTGCGAATGAAAGAATTAAATAAACATTTATTAAAAGTCACAGAAGAAAAGATTTCAATGGTGATTTCTCCAAAAATGAAAGAATTTTCAAAAAAACAAAAATCTATTTTGGTAGTGATGATTTCTGAAGCATACACACAACTTGTGCAGTTAACGACGGAGTTTAACAAGTTATTCGGACATATTTGTTTGATGTATTGTGGATGTATGATTTTGAATATTTTGGTACCGACTAATATGGCGCTGTTGGTGCTGCATAAAATTCCAGTACATGCAGAGCATTCATTTGGTATGCCATTCTTCGTATATTGCTTGTTTTGGATTATATTTCCTTGTGTAAGTGCAAAATTTTAGAAAATGATTATTTTAGTTAAATTTTTAATAATTTTAGATAAATGGAATAAGATTGTTCATTGTTTGTGACAACGTAGAAAATGAAGGTGGAAAAGTGCCCGAAATATGCTATACATTAATCCAAAACCTGGGGGAAAAAGATTTTAAACTGAAAAATGATTTAAGAGAATATTCCAATCAAACTAATCAATTAAAATTAAAATTTTCAGCTGCTAGATTTTTTGATATCAATCTAGGATTATCAATTTCTATTTTTGGTTCTGTTTTTACTTATATTATCGTCTTAATGCAAATTCAAAATTTTTAAGTATACGTTTATGCTATTTATGGATGTTTGTTAGTCTTTCACGCAAAAACTACTGCATAAAATTTGATCAAACTTCTCTATATTATAGTATATTCATTAAATTAAGAGATAGAATACTTTTTGTTGCTACATAAAAATTTAAAAGGTGTAAAATTAAGAAAAAACCAAAATAGTGGAAAATAATGCATTATACGCATTTTTAATTCTTTTAAATTAAAATTAGAAATTTTATTAACATATTCTACTCAGAATAAGTGCAAGAAATAAGAAAATAATGTATATTTTCAACACTCAGTATAAAATAATTAAATTTACCCTTTCTTATGTAATTAGCTATCCACACAAACAAAATAATTAATAAACTATTATGATCCCTATCATTTCTATCCACTACCCACTTCTTCATTCTTTTATTCATTTGTTTACGACTACAGAACAAAATGAGTGTTGATGGACTAAGTATAGCGCATACAGTTGCAAATTTTTTTGGCACCATACCAAAACTTAACAAATCCAACGCATATCAAAAACGCCTATTGTCAGATGTAATCAAAGGTTGTCTCTATATAATTCTATTTATTTTCGTCAACGTTTCCTTATTATTTGGAACAATTTTTAATCATACAAGTACTGTCCATAAAACCGTATTCATCACATATAGTTTAATGCAATTTGTAATGACAACCTTTAATATTTTGACTGTCTACAAACTTAATCTACGCCACGGGCATAAATTACAGATGTTTCTGAAGCGACTACAAAAACTTGAAGTGTTTATTATTGATCCAGAGGAAATTAAGAAGACAAATAGATATTTTATATTTGAGTTAATGAGATGGGCAAGTTATAAATTGGGTTTTGGATGTTTATGCGGATATGTCTACATGACAAGCCTTGGATGGGATGTTTACAAGTATTTTGTGTTAAGAGAAGTGCAGAATATGCATGTTGGTGTCATAATGCAAATTATACTTAGTTATGCGTCATTGATTGGAATAAGAATGAAAGAATTAAATCAACATTTGCAAAATGCTATCCTACACAATCAATTTAAAAGCAAAATATCTATAAAGGATATTTCCGATGGTTACACAACAATTTCAGAGTTAATCACTGAATATAATGAATTACTCGGATTTATTTGTGTGACTTATTGTGGATGTATGATTTTGAATATGTTGGTCCCGATTAATATGGCACTGTTGTTTGTGAATGGCATTGAAATACATGCGAATCACACGTTTGGTTATCCATTTTTCATATTTTGTGTGCTATGGATATTTTTTCCTTGTGTAAGTTAATAAAACGGATCATATAATTTAAAGTTTAATGTTTATATTGTTTTATATGTTTATATGCTTATAGGTACTTGGAATGAAATTATTTTGTGTTTGTGATCAAGCTGAGAAGGAAGCAACACGAGTACCACAATTATGTTATTCACTGATTAAGATACTGGGAGAAAAAGAATATAAACTGAAACAAGAATTGAAAGAATATGCTACTCATGCCTGTCAATTGCAAGTGAAATTTACTGGCGCTGGATATTTTGATATTAATCTTGGATTGACTATGCCTATCTTCGGTTCTGTTTTTACTTATGTTATTGTATTATTGCAATTTAAAAACTTACAATAACTTATTATGATATACTAAATGTTCGTGTTGGTTGTTTTTGTAAAACTGTCCTATAATTTTCAAAAATATATATTAAATTATTTAAAAAAATTAATTAAAGTTTGAAATTTTAAAATTTACTTCATAATCATACTAATATTATAAATGCGAATGTCCTGATGTTTGTTACACTTTCACGCCAAAACTACTTAACCGATCATCATGAAAATTTGTACACATATTCTTAGAGGTCTTCGAATGGTTATAGGCTACTTTTTATTTAATAAAAGAGAAATTATTTTTTTAAATAAAATATAGAAATTGTTTAGCCAATAATACCTCTGCATCTGGCTATTTATCTACTTTAACACCATCTAGCATTCCAGCAATAAAGCTCAAACCTAAGTACTATAGTACCATCACACTGTATTATCACACTTTATTACCTGTATTATATTATCAACATCAAATCCAATTGACTACATTATGGAGACTGTACACTATACTTCCATAGACTATACTTTCAGCCATTTTAAACTTCGCGGCATTCTACTTCATTGTTACTTCTTCTGTGACTACAGACGCGTACGAAAGCAACTTCATTATTTTAGATATTCGCGAGCGAAGCCGCGGGTTAAAGCTAGTATTATATAATGCACGTGTCTTCATTGTTGTGTAAATAAAAGTAAAAATTTGACGTTGATTAGATATTAATTGAGAAAATAAAATTAAAAGCACATGCGCAAGTTCCACTCGTGACTAATGCCCGTGACTAAAAACTAGTTAATCAGTTTTGTGCGTTCGTATTGAAAATACCACTTTTTGTGTCTCAAAACCGTTGAAAAAGTGATACTTTAAAGGTGAAAGTAGAAAAAAATCGTTTTTTGCATTTCATGAGTCACATTTCATTAAATACGTTCATAATTTTGTATTTCATTTCTTGATATATGTAAACAAATAATTAAATTGAAACAAAATACAAGATATCTCCTTTTAATATAATTACCACCATAAATAACTGATTACCATAATTCTATCAACAATTAATCATTAAAAAAATAAGTCCATCATCAATAGTTTCTAATAATAATTATTAATTCTTTTATCATTACCTATTCCTATTATTTGTTTATGAATCCACAAATTACAATTAGCATATTAATACCTACAACAACAACAACTCAACTGTAGACAACAACGCTGTATTATTCCCTCTATTATTACTTTATATTAGTCTTATCGTAAAAATGAGTGTTGCAAGTTTGAACTCAGTGCATTTCTATGCAAATTTATTCGGCACAACTCCAACATTCACAAAAGATAACAATCAACAAAAATGTATCTTCTCAGATATTCTCCGTGGTTCAATAATCATCGGGTTATTTATAATGATAAACATATCATTACTCTATGGGCAATTTTTCGATGAAGGCAACCAAATACACAAAACCGTATTAATCACACAAACTTTAATGCAAATATTAATGTCCGCTTTGAATATTTCAAGTGTATATTCTCTTAATATACGCCACGGACGTACTCTACAAATGTTTCTACAAAAATTGCAACAACTTGAAGTATTTATCACCAAACCCGACGAAATTAAAAAGATAAATCGTAAACGTTGTTTGGTATTATACGCTTGGGGCGCTTTTGGTGTGGTTTTTGGAAGTTTATCTGCTTATATCTACATCAGCACTCTTGGATGGCATGTTTATAAATATTTCTTCAGTAGAGAAATACAAAACTGGCATGTAGGTATCGTGATGATTCTGATAACTCAATATTCCAAACTGATTGCGGTGAGAATGAAGGAGTTGAATGAACATTTAAAAAGTTCAGTTGTTATTAATCAGATTGAGTATATTTCTTTGGAGACACGAAAATGTATTCCTATAAAAGTGCTTTCTAAGGCTTACACAACAATTGCTGAATTAATTGAAGAATATAATAATATCATTGGTTTCCCTAGTTTATTTTTCTGTGGTACTATGCTGTTGAATATGTTGGTACCGATTAATATGGCGTTGTTATTTGTTTATCACATTCCAATTAATGCTAATCACACGTTTGGTATACCGTTTGTGATTTATTGTGTGCTATGGCTTATATTTCCAATTGTACGTTATGAAACATAAAAAATTTATTTTTTTTAACTTTCGTTTTAAATTGTAATATATTTTGATTTGAATTTATAGGTGTTTGGTTTGGAATTATTCGCTGCTTGTGATGTAGTAGAAAAAGAAGTCGCAAAAGTTCCACAAATATGTCACTCGTTGATTAAGAGGCTTGGTAATAATGAATTTAAACTGAAAAATGAATTGAATGATTATGCAACGCAAGCTAATCAAGTAAAACCAAAGTTTACAGCTGCTGGATATTTTGATATCAATTTAGGATTGACTATGCCTATGTTTGGGTCTGTTTTTACTTATGTTATTGTATTGTTACAATTTAAAGATTTACAATAGTCAATAATATTTATTATTTAATTTATTTGTATTTCCAAGAATATTTCAATAAAAATAGGTCTCAGTTATTTTTTTATTGTTTCTCGAACTTAATATAAGCAGATTCCACCAATATCTCCATTCTAATTTTAAAAAATGCCACCGTGTCTGATAGAATTATATAACTTAATGTCCATTCATAAATTGTTTCACCCAATTAGCATTTTCAACTGTTAAAAACTATAAAATATCAAAACTAAGCAAATGCGCAGGCGCAAGCTTCACCCCGTGACTAAAGCCCGTGACTAAAGTACTTTAGTCACATCCTTGGCTGCCCGTGTTTAAAGTACCACTTTTTGTGTCTTAACACCGTGAAAAACAGGCGCTTTAAAGGAAAAACTTAAAAATATTAAAACTAGCACGAATATAATACTTAGATTAATATCTTGTGTAATCCAATTGTGATTAAATCTTTACACTTACGCTAATAAGCATTAATTAGTTAATTCATGGCTATACATTAAATGCGACCTACTTTATACTTCATTATAAACACAAAAATGAGTGTTGAAGGTATAAATTTCGCGCATTTCTATGCATATTTATATGGAACCATCCCAACATTCACCAAAGATAATAACAAACAAAAATATATTGTCTTTGATATTTTGCGTAATTCCATCTTCATATCAATATTTCTCTTAGTCAATATTTCCTTACTCTACGGACAATTCTTTTGTCACGACATCCAAATACATAAATCTGTGGTAATCACCCAAACCATGATGCTATTACTAGTGTCATCTTTCAACCTAACAACAATTTATGAATTTAATATACGATCCGGACACAAATTACAGATGTTTATAAAAAAACTACAAAAACTCGAAGTGTTTATAATCAATCCTGAAAAAGTTAAAAAAGTAAACCGAAATTTTTGGCTTGTGATACATGGTTGGTGGGCATTCGGCATAATTTTTGCAACTTTATCAGCGTATGTTTATACCATCAATGTAGGATGGTATGCTTATAAATTTTACGTTGGAAAAGAATTTCTGAGTTTTCATGTTGGCCTTGTATTGAACACGATAACTCAATATGCGAAACTGATTGCGATGCGAATTACCGAGTTAAATCAACATTTAAATAATTATGTACTGAAGAACCAAATGAATAATATTCAAAATTCATCAAAATGTGATAAACTAATAACCATTGAGGTTATTTCTGAGGCATATTCAACAATTGTTCAATTAATCGAAGAATACAACGATATTAATGGTTATATCTGTTTGATGACGTGTGGAATAATGATCGTCAATATTTTAGTTCCGATTAATATGGCTTTGTTAATCGTCTACGATATTCCTGTTACTTTAAACCACACGTATGGAATTGCGTTTTTTATTTATTGTGTATTATGGGTTGTATTTCCAATTGTACGAATTATTTAAAAGAAAAATTGAATTTTTGATACTAATGATTATAAATTTATAGGTAACAGGAATACAATTGTTTTCGGTGTGTACTAGAGTTGAGAAAGAAATCGGAAGTATTCCACATATATGTTATACGTTGATTAAAAAGCTGGGAAATAATGAATTTAAACTGAAAAATGATTTGAAAGAGTATGCAACTCAAGCAAGTCAAGTGAAACCGAAATTTACAGCTGCTGGATATTTTGATATCAATTTGGGATTGACTATGCCTATTTTTGGTTCTATTATTACCTATGTCATTGTATTATTACAATTTAAAGATTTGCAATAATGGTTTTCTCAAAAATGTGAGAATATTTGTTGTCAATCGTATTTTCTGCACAAATAATAATATTTTAAGTATGAAGTGGCTAAACGGGTACTTTACTCACGAGATTGATTAAAAGCGAGAGTTTAATCAATCGAGTGCTTAATAACGTTTCGCCACGTGATGCTTTCAACTTCCACTCTATTTATACGTTGAAGTTTTAGTATTAGAACTCCACCCAGTGACTAAAACTCGTGTTTAAAGTATTTTAGTCACGGTCTTGTTTAACCGTGTTTAAAATACCACTTTTTTGAGTCTCAAAACCATGGAATAACTGCCGATTTAAAGGTGGAAGTAGGAAAAAAATGACATTACGATACAAAAGTGGAAAACAATGGATTGTTATCATATTACCTAGAAAACTGTAGATACAAATAAAATTTCTGTGTGTTTTAACTCCTCCTATCTAATACTAATAAAATTAAAAACTCAAATAAATAATTAAAAGAAAATTACACAAACAAATTCTTAACAAACAAGGAAAAAGAAAAAAAACACTCTGTATAAAGCAATTATCATAAACTTTCTGTCTAAATTTTCAATCCAAACAATACCTCCAGTATTAATTAGTCCGTGCGTCAATAATATTAATTAGTCTATGATATCCCTTCAATTTCCAATTTTTCATTATTTTTTCTTTTCTCTTTTTGATTGATCAGTTGAAAAGAATCGAACAAAATGAATGTCGAAGGGTTGAAATTCCCTCATAAAATTACAAACTTTTTGGGCACTACACCCACATTAGAAAAATACAACAACTATCAAAAACGTATCTTAACTGATGTTATACGAGGCACAGTTTTCATTATAATATTTATCCTAATAAACATCTCATTGTTATATGGAGCGTTCTTCTGTGCAGACAATGAAGTCCATAAAACTGTACAAGTCACCCATCGTGCTATGGAATTAGTGGTGACCAGTTTAAATATCGCAAGTGTTTATATGTTGAATCTACGTCATGGAAATCGTTTAAAAACATTTTTAAGAAAACTGCAACAACTTGAAGGGTTTGCTGTAAAAACTAAAATTTCAATAGGAGAAAATAAGAAATGTTTGTTAGAATTTTATTGCTGGGCAATTTTCGGAACAATATTTGGATGTCTAAGAGGATATATTTATATTAGTACTTTGGGATGGAGTACTTATAAATATTTCATCTCGAAAGAATTGCAAAATTTTCATATTTGTGCTGTGATGCATCTTATCACGTGGTATTCAAAGTTGATAGCATTGAGAATGAAAGAATTGAATCAACATTTGCAGCGTTCTGTGTTCATGCGTCAAATATCGTTGATTTCTCCAAAAAGTCAAAAACAAATGCAAATAAAAACTATTTCTGAAGGATATACAACTATTGCTGAATTAATTGGTGAATATAATATTATAATAGGACCTATTTGTTTGATATACTGTGGATGTATGATTATGAATATTTTGGTACCGATTAATATGGCGTTGTTGTTTGTTCATAATATTCCTACACATAAAGGGCATACATTCGGTTATCCTTTTTTTGTGTATTGTGTGATTTGGGTAATATTTCCATGTGTAAGTAAAAATTTATTAAATTAAATATATGATAGTACTTTATATAAAATTATAGGTGATTGGAATAAAATTGTTTGCTGTTTGTGACAAAACTGAAAAGGAAGTTGATAAAGTGCCACAGTTGTGTTATTCGTTGATTAAGACCCTGGGTGAAAAAGAATATGAGCTAAGAAATGATTTGCAAGATTATGCAACTCAAGCAAGTCAATTGAAACCGAAGTTTACAGCAGCTGGGTTTTTTGATATTAATTTAGGATTGACGATGCCTATTTTTGGTTCTGTTTTTACTTATATTATCGTATTAATGCAGTTTCAGAATATTTAAAGATATTGAAATTGTTTTATATTGATGGAAAAGATATTATTATCTATTAATTTGATAGTTTTGTTGAATTTTTAGTGTATTTAGTTGTCAGTGTTAAGTTGTTCGCACTGATTGGTGTTCTAAATATTTCTAAAATAAAAATTTCGCACTTTTTATAAAAAAATCGAATTTCTTGAACTTGATGAAAATAGTATATTAAGTATTAAGTGGCAAAACGGGAGTTTTTGTCACGAGATTGATTAAGAGCGAGCGTAGTGAGTGTTTAATAAATCGAATTGTTAACAACGTTTAGCTACGAGATGCTTACACTATTTTTTCTACTTCTATTCAATTACCACGTTGAAATTTTTGTATTTGAATTTTTAAATTTAAAATCTTCCAAATTTGCTGGCACCGTAAACAACTGCGCATGTGCAAACTCCACTCCGTGACTAAAATCTGTCAATAAAGTACTTTAGTCACGGCCTTGGCGTTCCGTGTTTAAAGTACCACTTTTTGTGTCTAAAAATCGTGGAAAAACTGCCACTTTAAAGGTGGAAGTAGAAAAAAATAATTATAATCCTTGTACTTGATAATAAATAATAATAAATGCATGTTTCGTAAATCACGAGTCGTGTTCAGTCAACAAACTTATTGTAAAGAAAATATAAAATTTATAATTTATAAGTAAAATTCATCAAATACTGACGGGTGGGTTACAACATTATTCCTGATTGCACCTCAACTAGTTTAGTAAATATATATTTCCAATAACTATAATATTTATATTATCCAAACATATTATATTTTGATATGCCTACAAATATATTAGAATTATTCGGTTGACAAACTATAAATAATAAATTTCAAAGTTCTGTCATGCGTGAATAAGAATGAGCAATAATCAATAATAATTACTATATATTAATCTCTATATCTCTACTGAATACAAAAAACTCTAGCTGCAACTTCAGTGTATATTCAACAAGTGAGAATAATGAACGTGGAAAGCTTAAACATACCACAAAAAATTGCCCACTTACTGGCAATTACACCAAACCTACTAAAAAATACAAATAATTCAACATATAATACAATACGTGGAATAATATTTATCAGTATTTTCATTTTGATAAATATCTCATTAATATATGGATCATTCTTCTGTGAAGATAATAAAGTTCACAAAACAGTACTCATCACGCACGTTTTAATGAATTTAATTATGACTATTTTAAATATAACAAGTGTGTACATGATGAATCTTCAGCATGGACATAAATTACGAAATTTCATCAAAGTTTTACAAGAACTTGAAATGTACATCATTAAAATCGACAATATTTCTTATGCAAATAAGTGGAGTTTATTTGAATTCTACATTTGGATACTTTTAAGCATAAATTTTGGTTGTTTAAGTGGATATAACTATATCACCACCCTAGGATGGAATGTTTATAAATATTTCATCACACGAGAATTACAGAATTTTCATATTGCTATTGTGATGTATTTGATAATTCAATATGCAAAATTGATGTCAGTACGAATGAATGAGTTGAACGAACATTTAAAGCTTAATGTTTTAAAACGTCAGAAACAAATTAGTGTGAAAAATATATCAGTTGCGTACACAGTTATTGGAAACCTGGTAGCAGAGTATAATGACATCCTCGGACCTATTTGTTTGTTGTACTGTGGATGTATGATCATCAATATATTGGTGCCAATTAATATGGCAATGTTGTTCGTGCATAATATAGCAATACATGAATATGCTGTTCCGTTCGGCGCTTCGTTTTTTGTCTATTGTGTTCTATGGATTATATTACCTTGCGTGAGTAAAGTTTTAAATCTGTGTAATAATTTATTAAAAATCAACAAAATTGTCCATTCGTTTATAATATGACAGTATATTAAGTATCAAGCGGCTAAACGAGAGTTTGTGTCCCGATATTGATTAAGAACGAGTCTAGCGAGCTTTTAAGCTTCACCCCGTGACTAAAACTCATGACTAAAGTACTATAGTCACAGTTTTGGCCGTCCATGTTTAAAGTATCTTTTTGTGTCTCAAAACCGTGGAAAACTGTCGTTTTAAAGATAAAAGTTTAAAAAAAAACATAATTATTACTTTAATTCGTATTAATTTACAGATAATTGGAATAAAGTTATTAAATGCATGTAATAACCTCGAAAAAGAAGCTGGAAAAGTACCACAGTTGTGTTATTCACTGATTAAAACCCTTGCAGAAAATGACCATATTTTACAAAAGGACTTAAAAGATTATGCAAGTCAAGCTAATCAACTAAAACCCACATTTTCAGCTGCTGGTTATTTTAACATAAATTATGAATTAACTATGCCTATATTCGGTTCAATATTTACTTATGTTATTGTTTTACTACAATTTAAAAATGTGTAACGCATATAATTGTGATGTACTCAAATGAAAATTATTAATCTTATAAAAATGTTTACTTTATTCCATAAACATCTATATAATGCATTAGCCACACCTTCAGCCCCACCCAAGCAATTATCATTAACCTAGCTACTTTGTAATAATAATTAAAACATAATAATTCATTATACTCAGTTACTTTTTAGGCTGTTTACGATAACGTTCAATTCAATAAACTAGACAACAAACAAAATGAGTGTGCAAGGCTTCAATATTCAGCATAAATTCGCAAGATACTTTGCTATTATCCCTGATATAAGCAGAAACTCTCATCATGAAAAACGTACTTTATGTGACATCTTACATGGAACAACTTTCATCGCTTTATTTATAATTACAATGATATATTTAATGTATGGAAAAATCACTTCCTATGGTTATGCAGTGCATTATACTATTCTCGTGACGTTCTTTATAATGGAAGTTATTACAACAATATTGAATATACTGAGTGTTTACAGATTAAACCTACGTCATGGTCAAAGATTTAAAAAGTTTTTAAACACCCTGAAATCACTTGAAATTTATATCATTAACAAAAGTGATGTTGAAACTTCAAACAAAAACAGTTTAGTAATGTTTTTTATTATTACGATTACAGCGGGGATTTTCGCATGTTTTAGTGGTTATGTATATGTAACTTCAGCAGGATGGAGTGTTTATAAGTTTTTCATTATGCGAGAATATCAAAATACTCATGTTGGCGTTGTGATGGAGATCGTGTCACGTTATCCGAAATTAATAGAGATGCGAATGAGTGAATTGAATCAACATCTACAAAATTATGCAGAGAATAAACAAGTGAAGAAGAAAATATTATTAAGTCATATTTCTGATGCTTATACAATTATTGCTAAACTAGTTGGCGAATTCAATGATTTATTCGGACCGATTTGTTTGATATACTGTGGATGTATGATTATGAATATTCTGGTACCGATTAATATGGCACTGTTGTTTATGCGTAACATTGAGATCAATCCACAATATAAATTTGGGAATGCGTTTTATATTTATTGTTTATTGTGGATTATATTTCCATGCGTAAGTCAATTGTGATATGTTTTAAATTAATATTAAAATTTTGTAATTTTGTAATGTTTTAGGTGCTTATATTGCGATTATTCATAGCGTGTGATAAAGCTGAGAAAGAAGTTGGAAAAGTTCCTGAGATATGTTATAATGTGATGAAAACACTGGGTGATAATGAATATAAACTAAAAAATGAGTTGAGGGAATTTGCAAATCAAGCAAATCATTTAAAACCAACGTTTTCGGCTGCGGGATTTTTTGATATCAATTTGGGATTAACAATGCCCATTTTCGGATCGATATTTACTTATATTATTGTTTTAATGCAATTTCATGGTGTGTAAGTTTTTATTTATAAAACTATCCGTTAAAAACGCATTATATTTTAAATCTGCGAAATTCAATTACACACTGCTGGGAAATGTAAAGTTAGAAAAGCTTCACCCCTTGACTAAAACTCGTGACTAAAGCCCATATCTAAAGTACTTTAGTCACGACCGTGGCCATCCGTGTATAAAATAACACTTTTTGTGCCTTAAAACCATGAAAAAACTGGCGCTTTAAAGATGGAAGTAGAAAAAACAATTTTTTTTTTCATTTTTCATCATGAATAACAATTTTTATCGGCATCTTATCGATGAAGACTTGTACATTTTTCATGAAATTGCCTAGTTTAATGTAACCCTTGAATATCTAACCTTGAATACTAACTATACCCAGCATAGAATCATTATTTTAATGTTTGTTTTTAACTATTTACTTCCCTCGATAAAACAATTGTTATTTAATGTAATTAGTTCAAGATACGAGTACGAACAGGAATTGAATTCATTCATTCATTCATACTTTCGTCACCTTCATTTACAGTTCATTTGTCAGTCAAACAAAGTCAAACAAAGTGAAACAAAATGAATGTAGACGGTGTAAAGTCTCCACATAACATGGCCCACTTCTTGGGAATCACACCAACACGCCTAAAGATTAACCAACACCCTCCAAAAACACGTTATATATCTGATATAATACAAGGAATACTTTTTATTTCAATATTTTTATTAACACTCACATATTTCTTATATGGAGCAATATTTACCTACGGACGTGAAGTCCACACAACTGTAATCATCACTTTTACATTAATGGAAATTGTAACAACATTGGTAAATATTCAAGGCATATATCAGTTGAATCTTCGTCACGGTCTAAAAGTACAAAAGTTTCTTAAAAAACTACAAAAACTTGAAGTTTTCATCATCGAAACCGAGAAAATAGCGAAAGAAAATTGGAGATGTTGGCTTGAATTTTATAGCATGGGTGTATTCTCAGCAACATTTGCATGTTTAAGTGGATACGTCTACGTCACCACTCTCGGATGGGATGTTTATAAATATTCTATATTGAGAGAATTACAGAATGCTCATGTTGGTATTGTGATAGAAATTGTAACACGATATTACAAATTGATATCGTTGCGAATGAATGAATTAAATCAACATTTACAAAATATTGTATTAAATAATCGTATCGTTTACATTGCGAGTACTTCAGACATTTTATTAAAGCAAAATGTTGAAAAATTGTCTGTTAATGGTATTTCTGAAGCATATACAACAATTACAGAGTTAATTGATGAATGTAACACATTTTCCGGAGCTATATTTTTGGTTTACTTTGGATCTATGGTGTTGAATATTTTGGTACCGATTAATATGGCGTTGTTATTTGTTCAGAATATTGAAGTTTATGCAAATCATAATTTTGGTCCCCTATTTTTCGTGTTTTGTGTGCTCTGGGTGATATTTCCATGTGTAAGTAAAATAATTAAGTCTATTATTAAAATAAATATTATAAAATTATTTTTTTAGATTCTTGGGATTAGATTTTTAATGGTTTGTGATAATGTCGAAAGAGAAACAGGGAGAGTTCCACAATTATGTTACTCGTTGATTAAGAGACTTGGTAATAATGAGTTTAAAATGAAAAATGATTTAAGAGAATATGCCAATCAAGCTAGTCAAGTGAAACCGAAATTTTCAGCGGATGGATTTTTTGATGTTAATTTGGGATTGTTAATGCCTATTTTTGGTTCTGTTTTTACTTACATTATTGTTTTGATGCAATTTCAAAACATATAAAGTTCTTCATAATTTAAATTCTGAAAAATAATTTTTTATTGATCATTCAAGTTTTTAGACCCTATTTGTAATTTTAATTAAAAGTTGGTTTTTACATGTCAATAGGGCCTTAATATATAACTGTGTTACTAGTTTCCGATTCAGAATTTAATATACTTTCAGGATCCGAAAACAGAATTCAACAATTCCAATTATTACAGAAACTAAAAAAAATTTCGTCATCAAAAAGGCAAAAGATTTCTTTCTTCGATGTCGAATGCAATTTTTATTAAAATTTGCAAATAGGGCTTAAGCGGTTATTGTTACAAAAAAAAGTTACTAAAATAATCGATGTAGAATTAAATTCTCTTTCAGAATCCAAAAAAATAATTTAAAATTTTATGAACAAAAAAATTGCCTTTTTTATGACAAAATGTTTTCCTCAATTTTCATCCACTATTTTCCACATTTCCACAATTTTCTCAACAGAAAAAAGTATCCTATGTTCATTTCCAACGTCCAATCTATCTTCATACCAAAATTAATCAAAATTGATTCAGTACTTCACTCATGAAAGAGTTACAAACATCTATTCACATCTTCTGCTTCTCATAGTAATACCTATGATTTGAATTGTATCAAAACAATAAAATACGATATAATCGAAGTCATTGTAGGAAACACTAAAGAATAATTAAAACTAAAAAATCCTGCTGCAGTGAACTCTGAAGCTTGCAAATGTCCCTGCAGCGCTAAATCCTTCAACTTCTTCACGAACTCTTCATCCTTACAATCCATTATAAGCGTGTAACAAATTGAAGGCATTTTATCCATTTCACGTTTTGTTCGATCACAACAAGCTATCACAACAATCATATTACTCTATAAAAACATTAATTTAATAAATTATATATAAACATATAAAAATAAATAAATACGAACCAATGGAATAACAAACCATATAAAGCATAAAACATACAAATTGTAATCCAAAGTAGTATCCAGTATTTTCGTCCCTCCTCCATAAACAAACGCCAAATTCAAAGCCAGTAATAAATTAATAATAAGTTGTATTATAAACACAACCAAATTCCATCCAAAAATTTCATTAAATTCATTAACAACATTGGTTAATTTCGTGTAAACTTTACCAATATATTCCAAATCCCATTGTTGGTTAACCGTGATGATTTGTAAATTGTTAATTTGGTTGCATACATTCGCATTTTTACCATTTTCTAATAACTTCTGCAAAGCAATCACATTTTCAACATTTGCAGTGGGATTATTTAACTGGTGATGTTCCAATACATAGTTTAAAGCTTCAACTTTATACTTAATCAACAACACATACGATCTTACTAACATGACACTTATCCCGACATGGTAAAACTGCACATCTCGAAGTAAAGTGTATTGACTCACAGCCCAGCCAAGCGTATGTGTCCATTCCCATAAATTATACATCACATAAATAATAAAAACGAAATGCGCCATGAGTATGTGCAAATAAAAGTTACGTTTCTGACTCGATGAATTACAATTAACATATTGAAAAATCGCCTCTAGATTTTTCAACTCTTGTAGAAATTTATACAGACGATCACTCTGCAGGAAATTAATATTCACTATTGAAGTTATATTCGTTGTTGTGGTGGCTATATCAGATAACAACATCATCACAAACACGGAATCGTCCACTTTATCATGCCAGGTTATTTTCTCTATCAGCGTGTACATATGTATACATATTATGATGATGAGAGCGATGATTCCGTACACGTAATGGCGGCCACATTTCGACATCGTATTGGTATCAAATGTTGGCCATATACCAAGAAGGTTGCCAATTATGTGGAGTGGCTTCAACGTCGTTAAATTAATTTTGACCATTGTCATTGTTATATCACACAAAACTTAGTTTTTATTTTTTTGTTTTTAGTTGCAAGGTGATCACGCACTTCATTCACTTACTCGCACATCACTGGGTTACAACTGTACGCATTCAAAGTGACATCGCAGTCGGTTGTTTTTTAATTAATAACTTGTTTCGCAAATTAAATTGCCTGATCGTGCATAAGTGACTTGTTTGCGTAATAAACTCAAACTGGTGATGGTATGATAAATATTTGCCCAAGGGTGACATATAGGTAGAATTCAATTATAATCCATCATTCAGACAAAATTAAACAAAAAAAATTTCATATTATTTTGAAAAACAACGCGTTTTTCCTCAAAATTTTCATTAAAAAATATTTTTTCTAGTAATTAATACCAGTTTTAATTACCTAGTATATAATTAAATAACCTTGAAGGGTCGTTGATCAACATGGACATGAAAAGTTTGAATATTCCGCATGTATTTGCGAATCAACTGGGAATTATACCGAAATTTAACTTTAAAGAACCAAATAATCAATTATTATCCGATTTTCTCCGTGGAATATTTTATATTATTATATTTATTTTAATAATATCATACTCACTTTATGGAAAACTCTACGAGTATGGTAAAGATACGCATATTTTAGCTCTGTGTTTATACACATTGTCAGAATTATTCACTGTTTTTATGAATATTTTCTGTATTTATAAACTCAATATCCGAGATGGTTATAAACTCGAAAATTTTCTGATAAAACTACAAAAATTGGAGATTTTTATTACAAAACCATCTGAAGTTAAAAAAGCCAACAATCGCGAAGTTATGCAATTTTATGTTTTGCAAATAATGTGCGTTATTTTTGGATGTTTAAGTGGATGTATTTATACTAATACTCTTGGATGGAAGATTTATAAATATTCTATAATGAGAGAGTTTCAAAATTCTCATTTTATGCTTCTTATGAGTGTGATGATTCATTATACTGAATTGATCCGAATGAGGATGAAAGATTTAAATGAACACTTGCAGAATTATGTGAAACATAATTATATTTGTGATATGTTTGAAACAAATGTGCATCGAACTCCACCGAAGATAAATTTTTCGATAAAAAAGATTTCAGCTTCATATACAATTATAACTGAATTAATCAACGAATATAATGACTTATTCGGTTGTATTTGTGTCATTTTTTGTGTCAATATGGTGCTGAATATCTTAGTGCCTGTTAATATGGTGCTGTTATTTATTCGTGGTATTCCTGTCCATCTTAAACTATCATCGGAAACAATTGGTGCACCATTTATTGGTTTTTGTATATTTTGGATTATTATTCCTTGTGTAAGTAGACTATTTAACTTTATTTCATAAAAATAATAATTTTTATATAAATTTCAAGTTAATGGGTTTAAAATTATTCCATGTATGTGAAAAAGCCGAGCTGGAGGTTGGAAAAGTGCCGCAGTTATGCTACACATTGATAAATACGCTTGGAGATCAAAAATTTAAACTGAAAAATGATTTGGAGCAGTATGCGAATCAAGCTAATCGTTTGAAGGTTACATTTTCAGCAGGGGGATTTTTTGATATCAATTATAGATTGACAACGACGATTTTTGGTTCTGTGTTTACTTATATTATCGTATTAATGCAATTTCAAAATATATAAGACTAGCTTTTGCCCGCGACTTCTATTTAATAAAAATGTAATTCGTGTTTACTCTCTTGTTCTAGACATATTAGGTATATGTCAATTCTATCAATAAGATTCGCAATTTTATTTTAAAGAAATTAATAATATAAAGAATTGCTAATAATGCACTTCAGCGCGCCATCTCGGATTCAACTATTTAACTAAACTATGATTGAATCTCAATGCCAACTTATATCTTATAGAAAAAGGCTGTTTTTAGGGTTTTCCCGCAATTATTCGAATTTTTCTCACGGTAAAAACCATCCTTTGACTTAAACAAACATTTAAAAAAAGGAATTGGCCAAATTGGTCTTGGCGTTGTTGAGTTATGCGCGTACAAACACATTTTACGATTCATTTTTATATTATAAATAAGATAATTGTATGTTTAAACACCCTGTCTAAAATAATTATTGTTAATTGTTGTGCGAGTAATGAGTGTTTCACTTTCAATCAATAACAAAATAACGAAATATTATTACATTATTTCATCGTGATCATCATCGTCAATTTATTTCTTTTTCTGTCTTAGTTTATTCCAAAATGAATGTTGAAGGTTTAAACATCGCGCATTGCTGTGCGAATATTTTAGGAACAACACCAAATCTTATTAAAAACAAATATCCGCAAAATCGTCAATTAATCGATGTGGTACGCGGAATTCTTTTCATTATCTTGGTTGGTTTAATAATCATTTCTTTGCTTTATGGAACAATAGTCAGCATTGATCGTAATATTCACAAAACTGTTTTTATTACAATGACTTTGATGGAATTCATCGTCTCACTTTTCAATGTGATAAGTGTCTATCAGTTTAATTTACGGCACTCGGATAAACTACAAATGTTTCTTCATCGACTACGAAAACTTGAAGTGTTTATTATAAACCCTCAGAATATACCGAAAGCCAACATGTGGTGTTTAATCGAGTTTTATAGCTGGGCTGCTTTTAAAACAGTATTTGCTACTTTGAATGGATATGTGTATGTTACCAGCGTTGGTTGGGACGTGTTTAGATTTTTCTTTCCGAGAGAAATACAGAATTATCATCTTGGACTTGTGATGATTCTTGTAACACGATATGCGCAATTATTAGCACTGAGAATAAACGAGTTAAATCAACATTTGAAGAATTTTGTAGTCAACAGAGAATTAAAAGAGAAACAAATAAGTATAAATGTTATTTCGAAAGCTTATACAACTATTGCTGAATTAATTGACGAATACAACTGTTTAATTGGACCTCTGAGTTTGTGTTATTGTGGATGTATGGTTTTTAATATTCTGGTTCCGATTAACATGGCGTTGTTGTTCGTGTATGATATTCCAATACATGAAAATCATACATTTGGATATTCATTCGTGGTTTATTGTATTCTATGGTTTATATTTCCTAGTGTAAGTAGGAAATAAATATAATTATAAATATTTGCTTATATTTTTGATTAATTTGTAGATTCTTGGATTGAGATTGTTTTATGTGTGTGATCAAGTTGAAAGAGGAGCTGACAAAGTTCCACAGTTGTGTTACACATTGATTAAGACACTTGGAGAGAAAGAATTTAAGTTGCAAAATGATTTAAAAGAGTATGCAACTCATGCTAGTCAAGTAAAACCAAAATTTACAGCTGCTGGATATTTTGATATCAATTTGGGATTAACTATGCCTATTTTTGGGTCTGTCTTTACTTATGTCATCGTATTATTGCAATTTAAAGATTTAAAATAACAATTTACATTCATTTAAATACAAGTAATGTTAAAATAAGCAAAATAATCATTAAAATCTATCAAAACAAAAATTTTCTAGATAAGGTTATGTCGTGTGTCATTGTACGCCTACCTGCAGAATTATGTACTACAATATTTGACATTTAAATCAATAAATAAAACATTTTCTACCTCGTAAATTTCACAAAATTCAATGTAATTGAAAAACATGTCATAAACAATATTAATTTTATATTTAACACGAAACCGTTGACTTCTAATAAACAATAAAAAATATCGCAGCTTAAAAAATAATTAACTTAATGCATAAAACATACCTGTCACGCATTTTGTTCATAAACACGATAATAACTCAACATAATCAACAAATACGTGAATTAATTAACAGCTCTCCATATTAATTGAAAGTTTTCGATCTCCACTTACAATTATACCTATGTACTCGTATTTACATGTAATTCGTGTAGGGTTATAACGTTTTCACTATTACTATTTATTACTTATCACCATGAACGTTGCTGGTATGAATATCCCACATGCAATTGCCAATATGTTGGGAATCCTAACAATCGGCCCGAAACGCACCACCGCTGATTTGATACGCGGAATTTTCTACATCACACTATTTCTATGCATAATATTCTTTGAAATGTATGGAAAAATATTTGTATTTGGCAAGGATGTGCATCTAACTGCATTATCAATGTATATTCTATCAGAAACATTTGTGACAATCATGAATATCGGATCAATTCTTCAATTAAATCTACGACACAGTCAAAAACAACAAAAATTTCTGGATGGTTTACGAAAATTGGAAATTTTCATTACCGATAAAGAAAATATAGAAAAAAATAATCGAGCGAATTTGAGGCAGTATTACGCTATACATTTACTGGGAATGGTTTTTAGTTTTTTCAGTGGATATTTCTACGTGTCAACATTAGGCTGGGACATTTACAAATTCTACATTATGAGAGAATTCCAAAATACTCATTTTCTTGTTATCATGACGATTGTTTTATTTTATACGCGTCTTATTGGATTGCGAATGAGTGACTTAAATCGACATTTAGTCTCTTGTGTGGTCGATAACAACATATGGTGCACAAATTATAAAAAACCCAGTGATAAACTTTCAATCAAAACAATAGCACAAGCGTACACATCAATCACGGATTTGATTGATCAATATAATGATTTACTAGGTTATATCTGCTTGGCTTTCTGTGGGAATATGATTGTCAACATGCTGGTGCCAATTAATATGGCTTTATTGTTTATACGTGGTATTCCTGTGCATGCAAAATTCCTGCAGTATTCTTCTGAATCGATAGGAAGCACATTTATTGGTTTTTGTGCGTTTTGGGTGGTATTTCCTTGCGTAAGTTTAAAATAATGTTTGGTTGCATACATACATAACCTAATTTTTCTTTTTTAAGTTGGTAGGATTGTTATTGTTTAATGTTTGTGATAAAACCGAGAAAGAAGTTGCAAAAGTCCCACAATTATGTTATTCACTAATGAGAACCCTCGGCGATAATGAATTTAAACTAAAAAATGATTTGGAGAATTATGCGAATCAAGCAGATCGCTTGAAACCGAAATTTTCAGCGGCGGGATTTTTTGATATTAATTATGGATTGACCATGCCGATTTTTGGTTCGGTGTTTACTTATATCATCGTATTAATGCAGTTTCATAATTTATAAGTTAATCCAACAAAAACAACCACACCTCACAACACAACTCATTAAAACATTAATGTGTAATTATAATTCTGTTATGATGATATTATGATAGTCATCTGTTCTAATATTTTGTGAAATGTTCATCCATCGTGTCTCACCAGTGTTCAGAATAATGTCAACAACAAAACATAAAATATGAACACCGAATCTCTAACCGTGATCGAATGCTTTGCACAAGCTATAGGTATACTACCAACATTACACAAAAATAGCCGACGTGTATTCGACTGGATTAAAGGAATCATATTCATAACTTTATTTATAATTTTAACAATTTTTGAATTCTATGAAAAATTCTTCGTGTTTAACGACTCTGTGCATCCAACTATAATCTGGACGAATTCACTATCAGATTGGACAATTACAGGCATAAATATCCTTGGAATATTACTGATTAACTTACTAAATGGAAATAAAATCAAAAAATTTGTTGAAACACTGCGAAAACTTGAGATATTCATCGTGGATAGACGAAATATCACAAAAGAAAGAAATAAACTCGTTGGGAAATTTTTACTGTTTAACCTAGCAGCGTTTTCGTTCATTTTAATCGGTATAGGTGTCATAACCTCAACTCTAGGCTTTGATATGTATAAGTATTTTATCTTAAAAGATTTACAATACTACAACTGCATGTTGACTGCGTATTTGATGACAGAATATGTTGCAATGATTGGGAAACGAATGAAAGATTTGAATAATCACTTAAAAATGTCTATGAATAAGAATAAAGATGAATTATTCACCATGGAAACGAATCAATTGGCAATGAGCAGAAGTAAAATTGATATTAATACAATATCGAAAGCTTTCACCACAATCAGTGAATTAATCAACACATATAATGAAATATTTGGATATTTATACATTATTTATAGTTGTAATATAGTAACGAATATTTTATCACCTTTAAACATGGCGTTGTTGCACGCACGCGGTATAACACTACATGAGGAGATGTCTTTTGGACCGGAAATAGTTGTATTCTTTCTGGTTTGGTTATTATTTCCAATTGTAAGTTAATTTTATATAAAAATTTTTTTTTTTTAAACATAATTTTAATTTTTTAGTTTAGTGGATTCAGACTGTTTGCAACATGTGGAAGTGTTGAATTCGAAACTGGGAAAGTACCACAGATATGCTACACGTTAATAAAACATCTTAAACATGACGAGTTTAAACTCCGAGATGAATTAGAGCGTTATGCGAATCAAGCTGATCGATTAAAATCAAAATTCTCAGCATCCGGTTATTTCGACGTAAATTACGGTTTAATTTTACCTATTTTAGGATCTGCAGTTACTTATACTATAGTTCTAATGCAGTTCCATACATTAACTGAAAATTAGTTGATAATAATTGTGTTTTATTCTATTTTCAAAGCACAAACAAAAACACTTGTTTTATAGCCCACACAACTGTTACCGATAACATTATCCACTTACTGTCATACTCGATGTAAATAATTTATTATTATTTTGATGAATTGTGAAAACCTATTAAATTTTTATGAGTCGTGTATCCCAAGTTTCATGAATGTAATTAGTTAAAATGATGTCCATCGTTATTCGTTTTGAGGACGCTTAAAAAAAATAGAGTTCCACGAAAGAAATAATTACCAACTAATAAAATATGTTGTTGTCTTGTGAAATGTGAAAAAACTATTTTAAACTCTCATGAAAAAGGAAAAAAAGAAAAAACTGCTAATGTAGGTCAAGAAATAATTTAGGATGGAATGTTTGCGAGTGAATGCGTGAGCATGCTTCGTCACAGGTCGCAACCAACGTAATCAACATAATTGGCAATAATTTACATAAGTTATCAACCATAATATGTCCATATTTACCTTTCACCGTTCACCGTTGATATCCACATCCACCTAATATCAAACAAGTCAAAAACGTTAGCTGATTATTTTTTCGTACGTGTTATCTAGTTGATTTTAATATGAAAAGTGGAAAACTAAAGAACACAATAACTTGGCGATAGTCTCGATAAAGAGCCTGCTGATGTAGTTTACTTGTACAATCGATAACAATCACACGCACTCAACGGCCAGCACGCAGAGTGGCCCAGCTCGCGGTAGTGACCAGTTCGAATTAAAATGTCTTCTCGTGTAACCAGTAAACCATCCAGATCCACATTGATCAAAACTCAACAAGATCTTTGTTATTATAAATTACTTCATGTGCTGGGTAAATGTTTCGCGACACTACCAAACTTCCGACTGGAACGTATCGATGTCTACTCTTCAAATATTTGTTACGCCACCGTGGTGCTGTTGATATTATGTGGAATATCGATGTTTGGTATTTTTGGTAAATTTCAACATATGCGAAACTTCCTCGCACCGAGTGTGTTTCTCACCGAGATTGCTTCCGATGTAGTCATAGTAACAACGAATATTGTGACCATTATCAGGATCAACATGTGTAAAGGCCGCATTGTCTGTCGGATGTTAGCAACGTTAATGAGGATCGATTCGGAATTGCGACAGATCGATGAGAGTCAAGTTCAATATCCGTCGAAACAATTCGTGGGTGAATTAAGTTTTATTTTGATCTTTTTCTTGATATTTTTGATATATAATATTTATATTTGGATGGTGACTGTGGGTTGGACGATATTTCGCTTTTTTGCGATGCGGGACGTGCAGAACTTTCAAGTACTAGTGACGGCCATCTTGTTGAGTAGCTACGCGACCGCCATCTGTAACCGCGTGCATATAATGAACGAGATTTTAATCAAAACCAATCCGAATGTGCATTTGAGTCCGCAGTTGTTTTTTAGAAGCTCTGCAGCGTCTAGAATGTGTTCGAATAAGCAGATATGTAACTCTGTAAAAAAGCTTAGAATGGTTTTTGTGCATTTGATGCAAGCTATTGATGACTACAACAATGTTTTCGGATGGGTGCATTTCATCCTCTACGTTAATATTGTAATAACGCTATTGAACCCGATTAATTTGATGTTGGTTTATGGTGTTGGGGATAAAGAATTTCCAGGTGGACATTTTGATATTCGATTGGTTATACTCTGTATTATATGGGCTGCGTTACCAGGCGTAAGTCTAACCTAACCTATATTAACCTAAACTAACTTCAATTAATAATTAATTCTTTTATTCATAGTTGATTGCGACGTGGATTTTCTCAGCGTGTGATCATTGCATAGCAGAAATAAAGAAGATTCCGAATATCTGCCACTGTTTAGTGCAAGAATTTGATGAGGATAATGAGACAGCTTGTCAATTAGAAAAACTAGCACAGCAGGTAGCGAATAGTTGCCCGGAATATACAGCAGCTGGATTTTTTACTGTTAACTACAATATTTACTTTTCTTTGATTGGGTCCATAACAACTTACTTTATAGTTTTGATACAATTCAGATAATTCACGACTTGAATAATGAATATGTATATATTTTTGATATTGATGTTTGTTTTGCGTTGTATAAACTATGGTTGGTGTTAATAGACGATAATTTGCATATTAAATTGAAGAGGTTTAAAAGACATCAATTTCTTTCATGTGTGTGTGATACCTACTCATAATGGGCATGTTGAGTGTAAGAGAAAATTACTAAAATTATGTATTTGATAAAATTTGAGTTATAGAATAAGAAAGTTTCATTTTTCTACTTATCTACTTCCACGTTTAAAGCGTCAGTTTTTCATGGTTTTGAGACACAAAACCTGGTACTTTAGTCACAGGCAACCACGGGCTTTTGTTACGAGGTGGAGCTTGCGTCTGCGCATAAAACGTCAATGTCGTCAAGTGTTTTGGCGCAAATTTAAAAACTCCAAATAAAAATGTAATTTTTTATCAACTAAAAAAATTTAATCAAAAATATTTTCTATCTTGTTACTAATATATATTTTCTAGTATTATATTAATGCAAATTGTGAATAATTAAAATACGAATTATGGAAATTATGCAAAGTGATATTCATCGATTTGGTGACGGTCATCACCATGTAATATTCAAAATAAATATTCAAATATTTACGTGATTACTCCATATCATCCATCCTCTAATACAAAAACCGCCAACAAAATTCTACCTTTAGTCTCATTCCCAATCATCAACTTCAACATGGTGGTCAAGGCGGACGAATTTTTGTGCTTTACGCTTTCCGTAAACACATTCTGGTCTGAATCGTACTTCAATAAAATTTTGCATTATACTGTAACGTTGACGTTTATCCTCATATCCACCGGAAATATCATCTATATACTAAACTCTAAATGTAAAAAAGATATAAAATATGAGGTTTCTTCTAAAACTCTTAGTTAATTTTTTAAGATGATGGAAAACCATTTGCGGATATTGTGTTGAATTTATCCTGGTTTACCTCAGTTGCATTCGCAATGTTAATAGCACACACTATGAGAACATCCGCTGCCATTGGCTGGCAAACGTTCAAATCTGTCGAAACAGATCCACGCTTTCTGTTTCCCGATGGTAAACTAGCAAATCTCATCTTCATTAATAATTTGATTCTAAAAGGTTTAACTGGTATCGCTTGTGGGATAATAGTTGTTATTTCATTGATATTTGAATTTCAAAACTGCAACAAAACTGATAAGAAAACCGATTATTGTGGAATAGCTCATCCTATAGTACGTAATAATTTATTTAAAATTATATTTGGCCTTTAATTCAAATGATTTATTTATTTTTGTTGTTTTTTTTCAATATTTTAGTATACTTTCGTTGACTTAAGTCAACGTCCTTATCGTGAAATCTACAATTTCTTCTTTTTCGCAATGGTGGCTTATTTCATGATCGCCGGAGCACTATCTCTCAGTTTCCTCCATTTGTTTACAATATTTTCTAGGTATTCCTTCGAAATGTTTGAATCAATCTTAGAAGACGCAAAAGATACCAAGGATAAAACCAAACGAATGACTAAACTTATAAAAGCCTATGATTTGCAACAATTTATAACCAAGTTAAAATAGAATTAACTATTTTTTTTATAAAAGACAAATAATTATTTATCTTTAGCATTTGGACTGAAACGACGGTTTTATACAAGTGGCCATTACTCGTTCAATATTTTACAACTGGAATTATTCTTGGATTAGTGCTTATAACACAGTTAATTGTAATGGCTAAGACTAATTCTTGACTTATTTATCTTAAATAAAATTATTATAGAAATTTGATATCATCTTGATTGGGCATGGACTTTGTTATGCTTCCGCAACGTGTCTACTTGGGTTTGTTGCAGAAGAACTTAAAATTATTGCAAGTTACACTCAATTACAATTTAAAACTTTTCACAAATTAATTTTTAATTAAAAAAAAATTATTTTAGAGTTGTGAATTTCGAGATAGCGTATTTTACGCTTGTCCTTGGGATGGTGATGTCAAAGCAGTCAAATTTCTAATGTTTATGAACTTAAATTTACACGATTTGTTTCAACTACCACTTGGAGAGTATTATGCAGTATACTCTAACGAATTAGCTCATCTGGTACCATAACCACCAATATAAACAATCATATTCCCTATAAAACTAAAATTATATACATTTTTTTTTAGATCTTCAAAATGGCTTACTCAATCGTTACAATGTACATGAACTTGAATGCATAAATAATTGCTAATATAATAGTAGCACATCAGTAGTCGTTTAGAATTTCAGATGGCAAGCAAATCAATAGCTACGATATAATGTGTTTATTTATTATTTTTTGACAAGATGATTGTTCAATACCTCTGATTATACCAAAATAGACATGCCATCAATAAAACCGCTCACTAAATAACGTCCTATTTTTTACTATCAATATCCATGAACCGTAAACCTTCAGCACAAAATAATAAAAACTTATATGACAGTTACACATAACTGCAAAAAGATAATAAACATGGCGTTGGACAAGAAGGGTGCGTCTATTAGTTCGACAGCTACTCAGGACATAAAACTCAACACCATAGCATTAACGCGACTATTAAAAATTAACAACAGTGCTACGAATAATTAATACTGTGTGTTTACCTACTTTTTCTATAATTACATCAATAGATTATTATTTATAAAACCAATAATTATTTTTTAATTTAAAAAATTCTTCAAAAACTGTTTAAAAATAAAAAATGAATAATTATTCAATTAAATTAATTACTATGTGTTTTAAACACTCATTATAAACTTAAATACCAACTGTAATTCTAAAAACCATAATCAATTTAATTTCTCAACTGGAATTACGACAATGGAGCTCGACGCGCATGCAATCACGCATTTAATTAAGAATACTAACATAGGAAGCACGTCAAAGTTGCTTCCTTCAAAAGAATTTAATCAATTACAACGCATTTCCCTCGTGATGTGTTTTAACAAAGTTTTACATGTGTAGCTAATTAATAAATTATAACAATGTTATCTAAAATCTAAAATTTCAACAAATAATTAACGTGATCAATCATTAATCACTTGCAACACAACAAGGAATAAATATACAGTGTAAACTTTTAAAAATTCATTATTTGATTGGATTTGACCCGTAAAATGTCTAATCACAATACTAGGAAGAGATCAACTCCTCAGGATTTGTACTATTATCGTCCTTTGCATATCTGGGCAAAATGCGCTGGCATTCTACCGAATTTCAATCTAAATCATTTACATACCAGTTCAAGACTACCCTATTGGAATGGTATATTAATGGCAGTGGTTTTTAGTTCTATCTACGCATATACAACTTATGGTAAAATTTCATATATGTTATATGCGTTTCCTCCGAGTATATTTATCACTGACGTAGGAGGTGACATAGCTCTTTACATGGCTAATATAACATCAATAATACGCATTAGTTTAATAAAAACAAGATCCATTCGAAAATTCTTGGAACACATGAAAAAAATCGATGTTGAATTGCGTTCCATCAATGAAAATATAAAATACCCACGCAGGGTGTTCATAATTGAATTTATCAGCACTAATATTATCTTTGTGGTGTATTATATTTATGATGCGTACATTTGGGTGGAGTCTCTCACGTGGAATACTTATAAATGGTATTTTGTTAGAGATGTGCAGTGTTTTCATGTGATTATACTCTCATTGGTTATGAGGAATTATTCATTAGCAATTAGAAATCGTGTGAAGATTTTAAATGGATTATTACTACAAATGAAACCACCTTATGAGGATGGTAATAGAAGTAGTGATATTACTACAGGTTTGATTCATGTGATGAATTCGTTGAAACACACAGATAAGAGAGATATTATCAAGAAACAGCATTGGCAAGTGAAGAAATTGAGAAGAATCTATGCAAGAATCTGTGTTTCGATTGGAATATACAATGATATATTCGGATGGATTTATTTGGTGCTGTATATTGCGATTGTGGTTTACTTGTTGACTTCGTCTAATATTGCGTTGGTTTATGGTATTGGTAGTCGAAAAATTGGCCAAGCTGATTTTGGATTTACGCTGTTGATTCTTTGTGTTTTATGGTCAGCATTACCATTAGTAAGTAATCAATAGTTACAAGTCTAATGTAGTTTAAAATATTTGATATTATTTCAGATTGTGGGCTTTTTTATATTTTCCTCTGCGGATAAAGTCTTCTTTGAAATCAAACGTACTCCAATAATTTGCTACTCTGTTATGGATAGTTGGTTGCATTTAGATGAAGATCAAGTTTTAATAAATGAATTAGAGAAATTCGCACAGCAAGTATCAAATTCACATCCGGTAATCACAGCGGCAGGTTTCTTCGCCGTGGACTACGCTATATTCTTCGCGCTTATTGGTTCATTAAGTTCTTATCTGATTGTATTGATTCAATTTATGTAGAATAGCGAATAATGTATTAGAAATATAAACTTGTATCACACATAAGCAAATAATTATACGTATTCAATTGATTTACAACCTTAATTTGATATAATCCATCGCATATTAACCCAAATATTGAGTGTTATATGTAATGTTAATTAAATAAATTAGAAGAATATAAAGTGCTCTAAATTGACGTTTAATATGATTAAAAATATCTCTAACTTGTAATAATTACACCTAACATAAAGAATTCAATGAGTGACTTCTCAAACTTTAACTTGAACAGTCGTAATTTATAAAAGAGAAAAAATGGTAAAAGAATTTCTTGAAACAACCGATGATAAAAAGAAATCTATTCAAGATTTATACTATTATCGTCCTTTGCACATTTGGGCAAAATGCGCTGGGATTTTACCGAATTTCGATCTGAATCACCTCCAACAAACGTCAAATCGCCCATTTTGGAACAGTATACTAATGGCAGTGTTCTTCACACTAGTCTACATCATCAGTAGCTACGGAAAAATAACCTATATGCGTTACGCGTTCCCACCTAGTATTTTTATGACTGATGTCGGAGGTGATGCAGCTCTATTCATGACTAATATCACTTCTATCATACGCATTGGACTAATCAAAGCTAAACAGATAAGAAAATTTCTTGATCAAATGAAAAAGATCGACGCTGAACTGCGCAGCATCAGCGAAAATATTCGCTACCCACGAAAAGTTTTTCTCATGGAGTTTACCTGTACTAACGTTCTCTTTGTGATTTATTACATCTACGATGCTTATATTTGGATTGATTCTGTAACTATCTACACTTACAAGTGGTTCGTCCTGAGAGATATGCAATGTTTCCATGTGATTATATTATCTCTCGTGGTAAGAAACTATTCTTTGGCGATTAGAAACCGTGTAAGAATATTAAACGAGCTTTTGATAAAAATGAGGCCGCCGCATGAAGATCAGGCAACCAACAATGCTCATACTATGAATCCCGGTATAATTCACGTTATGAATTCGATGAATACGAGTGATACACATAAAAAGAGTAATCATCAAGATAGAGTTAAGAAAGAGCATTGGCAGGTGCAGAGAATGAGACGAATCTATGCAAGAATATGTGTCGCCATGGGCATTTACAATGATATCTTCGGCTGGATCTATTTGGTGTTGTATGTTGTCATTGTTGCATACCTATTGACTTCTTGTAATGTTGCATTGGTGTATGGTATCGGCAATAAGAAGATTGGTAAAGCTGATTTTGGTTTTGCATTGTTGATTTTGTGTGTGTTATGGTCAGCGTTACCACTGGTGAGTAGAAGAAATAAAATCTGGAAACAGAAACATTGATTTTTGACATGTTGCAGATCGTTGGCTTCTTCGTGTTTTCATCTGCCGATAAAGTCTTCTTTGAAATTAAGCGGACGCCGATTATTTGTTATTCTATTATAGATGGATGGTTGCCTTTTGATGAAGATCATGTTCTTGTTCCTGAATTAGAGAAATTTGCACAACAAGTTACTAATTCACATCCGGAAATCACAGCTGCAGGTTTCTTCGCAGTGGACTACGCCATATTTTTCGCACTAATTGGATCTTTGAGTTCTTATTTGATTGTTTTGATTCAATTTATGTAGATGAACACGATTTCACAAATTCTAAAAACAAAATTAGCGGACACAATAGTGGATCAGCAAATATAATTAATAACTAGATCAAAAATAAAGTAATCAAGTTTAAAGTGATAGAAGGTTAGAATTAATAACAACACTTAATAAATAATGATGTAGATCCATGAGATATCATCGGATTTGTTGATTTGAAGCCGAAAACATTTCATTAAAACTCAATTTATATTATCTTCTGTTAAAACCCGTCAGCCTAAAAACGTGAATTATTTAATTTGCTTTTTATTCGTTTGCTGTTTAGATTGTTGCAAAAACAATGCGGTTAGCTATTTTTTGTATTTTGTTTATGTTTATCAAGCACACAATGCCTGGAAATTTAGTTTTACCACTCAGCGACTCAAAAGTAAATAAATTTTTAACTGTTTTATCTCTAAAATGCCAATTTTTTAATTTTGTCATATAGGCATTTGTTTTTCAACGATTTATGGCTCCGTGTTATAAGAGAAAACTGCAAACACGTTATGAAAATCTGAAATTCTACACGACTGGTGCACAAAATGGGAAATTTACCTTCGACTATGATTTTGTTGTTGATAATAATATGAAAACCAATCTGGTAATCATTTGAATCATAATATTAAGTGTTTTTAATTAATTTATGAGTTGCAGCTACTTTTTAAATTCAGAAGATGCCCGAATGCTGAAAGTTTAGATGCGTGTACAGCGTTTCCAACCATTAAGGCGACGAATTTTTGTGGTTTGATGACTTCGGAGAAAGATGTTTGGTCCCCGATGATGATGTGTGCTACGCCAAGGATTAGCTGTCCCTATAAAAAGGTTCAAATGGAAGAAACATACTATAATTTTTACACAAAAAACATTTTAGGGCATCTATCGTGGCAGAAATTGCAGCGTTGATATGGAAGCCTTCAAATTCTTTCCTCTTGGAGCTTCTTACTGGCATTTGGAGGCGGAAATATTAGACGATAAGAAGGAATCCGTCTTTTGTTTGCGTTTTGCTGGATATATTTCCAGAGTATAAGGACATGCTGCTATTAATAATGCTAAATTAATCAGAAAATGTTTAGTAACATGATAAATGTAAAGATGGCTACAAAAATACTGTAGTATAATAGAGAGGGCATTGAATTCAAGTTTCACATACCATGAACTTGAAATTACTTACCGCTAAATCGGTCTAACAATGAATATCTCTTAATCAATATAAGTATACTGATATCTAGATATTCGGTAACTCTATATCTAATATTAATAAGCTTCTATTTATTCTACCATGCTTTGGCTGAAGCAAACTACGGAGCACTACTGCTTAATCACATAAAACTGATTCGTCAAACAAATTAATTTGACAAAAGCTTATTTCAGATAAAGAGACGCTTTAATCAAATAGAAGACAGTAATTAATGTCCACTAACCTTTTAATTTACTTGATAATTTACTTGAATGCACTTCTCTGAACGGCACTGAACATCTTTCTATACGTGCTTTCACTACAATGGCGAAAAAGATAAATTTCTGCGGTTAGTTCGTTAATTTAGCGGGAATTATTTTCTTCTTTTCGGTGAAGGTGCTGCCATCTGCTGGCCAATTATACAAATAGCCCAAGAACATAAAACTGACATAAACAGCCGTTGAAAAACGTTTGGTTACAAATTCCTCTGCGGTTTTGCTACACAGTTTTTATAAGATTTACACTACTTTATTATTAAATAATTATATACGTTCATTATTAAATAATGGATTCGTTTTATGACCAACCGAGACGCGCACCAATACCCAGAGGATTGTCATCAACCACAGACAGAGTATGTGTATTATAATTTTATATTCAACTTCAAAAAGAAAAAAGTGTTTAACTTGAGCTAATTTTATTATTAATTTGTTAATAACAATTCAGATACCTTCTGTACCAAGTGCAGTTCCTGATGTTTCAATGCTGGTACAAAACAAAGGAAACATTCCACAGAAAAAGTCAGAAATGTCATACAATGCTTGGAAATATCAACTACGAGGTGGTGCAACCAATAAAGAAAATACAGAACCATCAAAAGAGAGTTTATTTCGCAAACAAGTGCGATTTGAAGCGCCACAAACCACAAATGTAGGTCAACATGTGCCTAATTTTAATGTCCTGCCAGTAAGACCCAGTCTAGTTAATAAACAATTCAATCAAGAAGTGAAACTGCAGAAAACAGTTCAGAATCAACCAGAAACTGAGAGATTTGGCATGCCCAGAAGTGGTGTAGAGAACAAAATACTCCAAGCTAAACCATTCGAGAAGATATACATGGCAAATGTGCCAAATAGAAATTTAGATTTGAGTGTTATCGAACCACCAAAGCACTGGCAAACTTTACAAAGAAGTAATTCAGCACCAGAAAGATTTCACAATGTTTTGACACAAACCAATGCAGAATCAACTACTTTAGAGTTAAATAAACCACAAACACAACAAGTTGTACCAGTTGTTGAGAAGTCTGATGATGAACCAACTGTTAAAGATTTATTAAAGATAATCCAACAACAAAATGAACAATTAATGTGTTTGCAACAACAGGTAACTACTTTGTTAAGGGAAAGAAGTCAACAGCCGCAAATTGAAGCAAACAATGACAACTGGCAACAACCAGTATTTAAAAACAAAATATTAGATAATGTTCTACAAGGACAAACACATCCTGCATCTCCAAGAGGTAATAAATTTGCAATTGATGTAATGACCAGCTTTGAAGTGTCTATTAGAGCACCAAATGTAAATCGGTTCAACGCGAAAAGATTTCCTGCGAGTAACGAAGCGAAAATAACGGAAATCTTAGACGAGAGCAGTAAAAACTGCAAAACTGATTTGTCTCTGAAACTGGATGAACCTTTGATTGTACATGAAAGGTGTCCAAGTCCAGAGAATAGCATACACGTTGATATGAAAGATTTTAGTTCAGAGTAAGTAATTTTTGATTAAAAATTTGCATAAAACTAAAAATAAATGTATTATAGTGAGGAAGAAGAACAACAACAGGGTGTAGTTGATAATTCAATGATTGGGTGGACAATTTACAATAATGTAATGGACCAGGTTAACTTTATGTTGAAGAAATCAGCGCAGAATCAGCCAAACACACAAAATCAACAATATACAGGCGTGATTATGAAACAAGTGAAAGATGCCACACTTAAACACCTTCAGAGTGTTGGTGTTGACTTGAATAATGTTGATGATGATATTACAATGTAAGTTTAATTGATATCTCAAAGGTAAAGACATTAATTTCTACATTTTTTAAATTTAGTTCAACTGATGCTGCATATACGCCAACACAAGTTAGTTTTGCCGTAAAACAACTCCTCATGAAATATTTACCTGATGATCAACTAGCTAAAGTCGCTGCAAAATCAAAACCCAAGATAATAAACAATAATCCGAAGAATTTAATCAAAAGACGTCCGGATTTCTCAATGGCGACTGTGCAATACATGGAAAAGTATAATCTATTGAATCAAGAGCATAAAACTCAAGAAAATGGAAAATTTACAAGAAATCCAAGACCTGTGCCTTCACCAAGTGATAAAATGCTAGATATAACTGCACTTAAACAACAACCGAAACTTTTATAGCACGTTTTTAACTAAAATATTTATTTACTACGTAAAACAACGCTGGTTGGTAACATAATTAATATTTTTTACTATTTTACTTGAGATATTTAAATATAATTATGTGATTTTATCAGTTTAAGCATCATTTCATCATTCACACACATCCTTACTGTGTTTTAAATAATTTATCTACTTATATACACACTGTCTTCAAATTTTCATTGTGAGCTACTTTGTTCTTCTATATATTAAAAGACTCACCACACCCACATGTACCTTTAATATTTGGATTATTAAAAACAAATTCAGAGCTGAGTTTACTCCTCACATAATCCATTTCAGTGCCTAGTAAAGTTAACTGTGCCTTCTTATCAATTATCACACGAATTCCATCTTGTACTACTTCCTCATCCAGTTTATCTTGAAATATTAAATTATTTCAGTTATTTAGAGTATAATTTGATGTAATATACCTTTGGTTATAGCATAATCCAATGTGTATGATAATCCATTACAGCCTCTTTGTCGCACACCAATTTTTAGCCCAATCTACATAATAGTTCATTAAATAAAAAATATTTTTTACAGAAGTAAATTACTCACAGCATCATTACGTCCCTGTAGGATTTCTTTTACTCGGTTAACAGCCGATTGTGTCTAAAATATAAGGTTATTAATGTCTAAAGTATAATTTGTTGAAGAATTATGTTACCAGTACTAAAGCGGCTCTTGTCGGTAATAATTTGCGGTGTTTCACAGCGCGCACTGTGGCTGTCGCTAACGATTTAGTTGCCATTGCCGAAAATTGTTAATTTTGTGTAGATTTTCTGTTGAACGATCTGTTATGACATTTTATCATGAACAGAATCTTATAAGAGTCGCAAACAGCTGATTATTATCGTAGTTTCTCACTGAGTTGATTAGAGGTCAAGTTATACGTTTAACAAAAAACATGTAGATGGCGCTGGCTGTATTGAAATGAAAATAAAATCTATATTTATTTATGCTTCACAAGTCAATTAAGCTTCAAAGTTATTTGATCCGTAGTTTATGGAATAAACTAAATTATTCAACAATCAGAAATGCAAATATTCTCTGCGTAATTATCAAAATACATGTAATTTACTATTTTCTATAATGTTTAAGGTTAGCTTATTAGGTTATGTTATCAATATAACAACCTACATTCATCTTATTAAATATTCTCGGCTGTGTATAATTTGAAGGCGATTTTGTTTGAAACAAAGATACATCACACAAAAGCCACAATTATTTGTAAATAACTTTGTCACGACGCTTGTGTAGTCTATTGCCATCTATAATAAAGCCAGTGGAGGTTGAAAACGGTTGCAGCCGGCTTTCCACATTATGCATAATTAAGCGTTCGGATGCGTGTAATGAGCGTGTGATTAGAATTCGTAAACATACGAATGGCGAACTGGGACGATCGCTTTTGATGACCCAGTCTCTGGAAGGCTGTACGATACACACAATGACACAAACATGTCGTATTTAAATAGATAACAGACACTGTTGGAACATTGTGCAAAAATAGTTTCATTTAATTGTCATCACGTTTTATTCCTGAGGTTTGAAAGTCGCTTTCTTGCCTTTGTTTAAGTATATCAGTGAATAATGCCGCAATATTCGTAGAAAAAGAAAATTCCAATTGTGTAATGATTTGTTTAGCGTTTAACGCGCTTATGTTTACATTCGTGACCAATCCACTTGAATTTGTAATTAAATTGGTGTTTTTAATTACAATACGCGTCATGAAATATATTTAACTTGATTTAGTACAATATTTATTACCTATTGATTCATTATCTACTTACGTATTGCATACGTATTAAAATTTTAAGGGGATACAGTTGTTTAAGTTTTGCTTGCGCATATTCGTGTGTATTTGGTTGCCTATACTTACTATCTCCACCTATGCGTGTTAGAGGTTAATTTAAGAAGAAAACATTTAAAAAATCTTTTTTAAAAAGTTGTTTTGATGTAAACAGCTACTTAACCCCTTAAAATACATGTCTTTGACAAGAAAGAAAGAAAATTACGCATGCAATCGCCGTAAAAGTGCCCGTCTCGCGGCCAATCGTCAATGATGACAATGATGACAATGACAACAAAACTCGGCGTGCGCGAGTAGTGCCGCGATTCGATTTTATTCTTGCTCCGTGCGTTGTTTGCGTCGTGTCGGTCGTGTTTATGGAAAACGTGATTCATTCGGCGGCGCGCGGCCGGCCGCGGTGATGACGTTGAATTCAAATTGATCGTCAATATATTCCTGACGATATTATATATTGAAACCAACACGCATACGCCGAACGCGCGCGTCAAAAAAGAGAATCGAATCGAATCGCCGACGTCGCGCGTATTGTGTATCAGTATCAGAGTACCACCCAAACCAGATTACGCCCGGCGACCAGCAAACCGCATCGACGAATTCATCGAAAATTTCACAGATAAACTTTTGAACTGCGATTTGCGCTAATATCAAAACACAAAACATCCAACTTTTCGATTCGAAGAATAGTGTAAAGTGCGAATGTTCTACATGTTCCACATGACGCGTGCGTTTGTTGATTAGCACCGAAATAAATTACAAATAAAATCTTGAAACAAAATAAAAAACTTTCGACGCGCGCGCGACGCGACTTGTTGGTGTCGTTGATAGCGATCCTCGGACGGGACAACGCGGCACACATTCGCAAGCCGGCGTAATCACCGCATTGTGTTGTGTATTGGATCGGTTAAATCGTGTTAAATCGATATTTCCAAGACGTCGCCGGACAACGCGCCAAAGCAACGCAAGCAACGTACCAAAATGGTGAGTAATCCGTTAATTATGTCCTGCATTAAGTCAACAACGTTAACATTCAACAGTTTCAAAACTTACAAATCAAACAAGTGAAAAGAAAAGAAAAACTAGTTTTTATGCATACAGCGCTTTCTTTTAAGGTAATTTTTGGTAAAATCAGTAGGGTTAGGAAAATAATTATTTCAGAATTGATTTTTTATAAAAATCAAAAATTATTCGAAAAAATTAAAAATATTTGCATTTTAAAGCTATAATTTAATATTTAATTGTTTCCTAAAAATTATTCTTTTTTATCACAGTTTAATTTAAAATAATTAATAAAAAAAGCAAAAATTATGATAAAAAACATGTTTTCTATTCGTTTTTTACGAATAACTTAAAAACTATTAAAGCTACATAAATAAATTTTACACCACTAAATTCTACATTAAATTCTCTAAAATTCACCACAAATTTTATCACAAAAAAACCAATAATACACAATTTTTTTTTAATTTTTAGATCGCTACTTTAAAACCAGCGCTCCTGGTGTTAATCAGTTTCCTATCACTGATATCAGCCCTAAATGACTGCTCCCTCTCACTGAAGAATCACATCCTAACATGCGAAGACGTTGACTTTGCCGCCGCCTCGGATTCGGAAGGCCTCAACCCGATCGAAGCTCAATTAAGCAACGAAACCGTCGTGCTCATACTAAAAAACAGCAAAACCCTCGACCTCAAACCGGAATATCACACCGAACTATTCCAAGTCCTAAACAGTTATCAAGTAACATCTGTAAAATCACTCAAAATCGCACCCGAAACCTTTATAAACCTCACAACATTGGAATACGTGAAAATCTGCGATAACGACTATCATAAAATCCTCGCAAACACATTCTTCGGTCTCGAGAAACTCCGCACGCTGAATTTAAACAACAATTCGATTCACGAGGTGGAAGCTGGCGCATTTAATTCGCTCACATCATTGGAAACACTCGAATTGACTCATAATGATTTTAAAATACTGCGATCGCGTCTATTCGCCTCCCTGGTCAGTCTGAAATCGTTGTTTTTGTACCACAACAACATCGAAGTGTTAGAAGATGGCTGCCTTGAAGGTCTAGAGAATCTCGGCGTGCTGGATTTAACCTACAACAGGATAGCGAATATCAACGCGGAGATGTTCAATGGCCTAGCGTCCTTGTCGCAGCTGTACTTGTCCTACAATCGCATCGGACGCATCGAAGGTGATTTCACATTGGAACGCCTGGAGTTCTTGTACCTGCAGAATAACAAGTTGACGACGGTCAGCGAGAGCATGTTCAGCTCGCTGGCAACATTGAGGGACGTTGACATCTCGCGGAATCGCATCGATGAACTGTCTCCGCTCGCGTTCTACAATTGCAGCAGGCTGATGAATCTCAACTATAAGGAGAATAATCTCAAGCAGCGCGTGGAGTTTGAGTTCGCTGCGAATGGCACCAGTCCGCTGATTACGGCGTGAGGAATCAAGTTGTGAATTTCGAAGAATTAATTATTGTTAAGTATAGAGATAAGTTGTGCTAAACAGACAGAGACGTTGGTTGTATTTGTATATAATGATAAATAAATGTTATTTATTCTACGAATGCGTTTATTTTTATTGGATTAGGCGGAATTTTATCATGAAGTTTCTTATTACGAAAGTTAGTGATGGTTAATAATTGGTTTGTTTAAATCACTAAAACTGTTTGCAACTTGCAACGCGGCTCAATGGTCTAGGGGTATGATTCTCGCTTTGGGTGCGAGAGGTCCCGGGTTCAAATCCCGGTTGAGCCCAACTTTTGTTTTTTTATTTTACCCAATATTGTCAGTTTTTGACAGTATATAATGTAATATCACTTTTTTTACTTTTATCTTTATCAAATAGTCCTAAACTATCCGGAAACCTAGCGTAAAAACGTGAATTTTTATATTGGCGAAGTTGTTTCTACACTATTTAAAATATTGAACTGTAGATGGCGCACCATGTACCGTATTTTAGTTAAAATGATAAAAATATTGTTTCCAACTAATTCACACCGATCTATTCATGTTTTTTATTAGAGGATGTGATGATTTCATTGGTAAACTATATTTTCCTTCTTTCTAAACTTAAAAATTAAATTCCAGCTGGATATTATTCACTGCAACCACAAAAACACAAAAAAAAACTGATAGTTCTTTATATAACATTAAAATAGCAGCACTTGTGGAATTTAAAAATCCAAGCGTACATAACTCTTTCAGACGAAATTAAAAAATCGTTACCACCATACAGAATAACAGAGTATCTGTGTTAAACACATTCACTCGCCTGTTGAAAGAAAACTGTGCATGCTTGACACCCACAGGCGGCGTGTTTGTGTCGGTATGGTGTGGTAATCCTCGAGCGCAGCCAAAATCACGAAATAATTGAAATTTTTGCGCGAGAAACTTAATTTAGCGACGCGCCATGCACCAACGCCGGCATGGTGTGAGTGTTGTGCACTCATTCCTCCGCCTCGCCACACATAGCACACCCTTAAAACTCCGCCGACGGCGTGCGGTTTTTATATTTCTGCCTCGCCCCGCAAACATATTCGCACGCACGCATGCGAGGCAAACTTTAATAACGTCGTTTTTCACCGCACGACGTACGGTGTACGTAACTAGCGTACAGCTCACGCAAACAAATATGAGCTTTGTTTCAAGGGGATAATGCTTGGAAATTTTTAGATATACACAGCAGAAATGAAAATTGAAACCGTATTAACACGTATATGCAACCAAACAGACAAAAAATGCATTCGCGAATTTTTAAATTAATTATATCTGTGGATGCACGGTGAAAAAATAAAAAAGTTGATTTTTCGTTTAATTAATTTTGTATTACATTCCAGTCAATTGCATATATATTTTATAGTCAAATAAATTTTATTTCAATGCAATAAATATAAATAAATTAATATATTTTATGTTTTTGGAAAAATATTTTATAGAACAATGCAAATGTTAATTAAAACTCTGTGACGATGATGATGATCATTAAAACTCAATAATAATTGGTTGGGTTTAACTTTTCTTTTGATCAAAAAAATTAAATAGGAAATATATAGAAATAAATATGTTTTTCATTATTGTCCATAGTCAATTAAATTATTTAAATTTAATTATTATTAAATTTAAATTATTTTTACCGTAAAAATTGAAGGATTAATTATTTTAATAATACCATATATTTGTGAATGTTTTTTATGCATTTTATTCAAAAACTACTGAATAAAACCGCTTATGCTGTACCGGAGGCAACTGCGCAGGCGCAAGCTCCGCCCCGTAGATAATACCCGTATATAACGGATATTACACACGGCTTGGCCTTCCATACATAAAATACCACATTGACTAAAAACCGTGGAAAAACTGACGCTTTAGAGGTGTAAGTAAAAAAAAACTAATATTTTGAAAATTCAATCAATAGTAAACGTTTTTAAATTGTCACTAGCATCGCATCAAAAAACACTCATAAAAAACATTTCATAAAAGTTATTTTATTATAATATAAAATTCACGGGGCCAGCTGGTATGATATATTTTTATGATTTGACATATTTTATACATATTTATTGACTTATCTACGCGCCTACCCTGAATACCCTTTAGTTGTGACCTTCCACTCGCCTTCCAACATCCATAACTCAGCCATCCCCGCCCGAAAGAGTAAATAACGCAAAAACGTAGGAATGTTTGGCATTGATGGCGAAATACGAGTTTTCGTTAAATATTCACTTCATCCCTCTAAGTTAGGCATAAATTCGACGCACAAAATTAGGCTCGAACCACCCGCCCAATGGCCGCCGATAAAGATAAAACGCGTATTTTATGCGTGCGCCCTCGTCGACATGCAGCTTTTAGCGGATTCCGTCGTGCTGCTGGCCGGTAAAGAGAAAAAAATTACGCAGCTGCCAAGAATGCCTAACTGGCTAGGACAAGCCGTATAGCCTAATCGATTTTACGATTTGATGATATATTCGAACGCAAGCGCTGTACGCGTAGTTTAATTTGTTTGAAATGCAAAAATTACCTAATGGCTGGAAATGCTCGACGTGTTGACTTAAGTTGTGTGTAGTTTATACACAGACTAGATTATTTAGCATCATGCCTAAAATAGCAAATTTGCGTTTAATTACGATGCGACCGTAACAAATAGCCGACCGCACGCTGCTTGTTATGCATGTTCAGTTGGTTGCCTGCCACCAGTTTGCGTGTCCTTGGAGACTGTCCTTCGAGATTTGCGCCGCGCTCGTAATTTCCACGCTTCTCTGCTCTCTCTCTCTCTCGGCAATAATTCAATTCGAGTATAAAACCCAATCAACCGCCGAATGCTTTCAGGCTACTTAAAGTAAATATTTTCCATTTAAATATTAAACATTCCGAAAATGAAAAAAAATAAGTATGTTTGGTTGTCTAGTTAAGCTTGAATATATAGCCACGCAGGATGAATTTTGTTTAATGTAAAGTTATGTGAAAAGGTCAATATTAAGTTTATTATGGCTGGGGGTGCGTGAACGGGCGAGTTTACGGGCGAATGGGCCATTAGGATTGATTTATTCATGCCCATGGTCGATATACGTTTTCATTAAACGGCAGGACGGGTCGGTGCAAGTCATCAACGCTCTTCACGGTTATTGGCGCAAGCTGGGGAGGTGCTCCAAGTGCTGAATATTGAATGAAACAATACTTTACACACAATACTCCGATACTTGTTCCAAAATTCTCAATTTTTTGCACTCTACGCTTGTACCGCAACTCAAACATTGATTATTTAACATGCAAAACTTCTTTATGCATAAGACGAGACAAATTCCACTCTGATACCATGATATCAGTATGTTCATGCTGATGAACGTCATCATATGATATAGACAGGTTTGCCAATATCGCCTGCCTTCGCCTTCTGTTTGCTACTTTACACCGCTATGCTGGCGGTTGGGTTGATGATATGATCAAGGTAACCGTGCGCGCAAGTTGAACATCTTATTATATCGAAGAGTGAAGACGTGAACAGTATCGCTATCGGCATGCAGCGCGCAGATGAACCGGATACTGCAACTTAGTGCACATGATTCAATAGCGATTTTCAGTTTTAGGAATGCAGCTATGTCTATATTAGCACGGTTAATTAAGGTATCATATGCATGAACACTTGCGGTATTATCGACAACGTCACTGTCGTATGTTGTAATTAACAGCGATGACAAGTGCAAATTGGGCGCAAGGTGCGGTTAATGCTTAGATTATTGTATTCGAGTGAAATAATAATTGAAATTAATAATATTTTTGGTGTTAATTGACATTTTTAACTTAAAAATTAGAAATTTAAGTTTATATTAATTTAATCAATAAATTTTTCAGGATTTTTATGTTTAATAAAAGAAATATGTCAATATTTTGTTTGAATTTAAAATAAAAAACATTTTTTACGAGTATATGTAATCCATTGTTGATAGTTTAAATAATATTTTATTTATATTTATACGTGATTTTATAAACTACAACAATTTTTGTGTTGAGTTTAACATATTTCACGTCGAGGGCATATCTGAAACTTTTAATTATTAAAAATAAATAAAATGTTTTTTAAAATATGTTGAAGGGTCAAAAAATATTTTTTTTACTTTTTCTTTCAAAACTCCAGTTTTTCTACGATTTTTAAACACAAAAAGTGATATTTTAATACGGATGGTCACGGGCTAAAATCACGGAGTCATGGCTTTAACTTGGGGTGGTTAAACGTTGTTTAGAAAAACCCTTTTTTTAGTTATTTTTATGATATTACATACCAAAAATCCAAAAATCTATTGATTTTACCAAAAATAATAATTTGTAATATTAGCAGTGATCAAATGTGAAAGTTAGAATAACACATCTCAATTCAGTCACGTTTTTGCGGCATTAAGAGCGCGAATTCGTGTTGACATTAGCCGAATGTTCGAATATTATGAAGTCGTTTGTTTTTCGGCGCTCGTCGTGCAAACAAGCGTCCAACATTGCCAGGCGCCGCCCCTCATTTCGCGAGATATTAAACATTAAACGATAATTGCACACGACGCCGCCGGCGGCGGCAGCGGCAGCAAAAAAACAGACAATTAGATTAATATTCGAAATTTATATGAAACGTCTACCTCCATAGAATAGCTCCCTATCAAAATAAATTACAGTTAGACTCGTAATTAGAACCTAATCCTAATGAATATTAACAATAATAACAATACAGAATAAATCCTTAATTAGCATGCTTGGCTATTGTCATAATTATTTAAGTGTAAAGCATTTATTATGAATTATGAATTATTCGCGACAAAACCGAGCCAAGCGACGAAATATCACGATCACAGACGATGTTAATTAACATAACTTAATTAAACTGTTAAGTAATGTGTTATAATTATAATTAAAGCGCATGTGAGGCAAATTCGTGCCAATGCTTAGGAGTACAAGTCACAAATTGCGGTTTTGTAATTCGTATTCACAAAATATACGCAAACGTAGGATGATACCTAAACCGGAAGTGCATGGCTGCCGCGCAACAGCGATAAAAGTGGTGGTAGAGTGAACTAAAAAACA